TGTTTCAACACTTTCTCAATTATATACCTTTGTAATGCACCGCTGATGATTAACTTCGTTGTAGGGTCAACGCGACATTCATATCTTTGCAATATAATATTAATCCCTTGTTGTTCGATAGAAATGTGCCTGCCTTTTAATTGAGTAAACTCTTTTAGAATATTTTGCAATTTATTAATGTCCTTTCCAAGCAGGACAGAATAATTCTTATCATTATCGCCCCATCTGACATTAGTAGTATCGCCAAGAGCAGCTTTATAGTCGGTAGCTTCCGCCTTGAGTAGATTATTCCTACACTGCAATTCAGAACTTCTAGCTTCAGCATCTTTAACTCTTTGTGCCATTTGTTGAAATTCACGACGAAAAGAGTCCTCCGCGTGTCTGCGTTCTGCTTTTTCATTCTGATATGCATGCATGCAAGAGTTAAGGTTAATACGCGTTTCGCGAAGCTGTTTCTCTAATACTAACTTAGCTTTCTGCAAATCTTTGATTTCCATCTCGAGTTCAGTCAATGGATCACTACGACTAGGTCCAGCCGAAAGTTCTTTAGTAGTATCGCAGAGAGCATCTTGATATTTGATGGCTTCTTCCTTTAGCAGATCATTCTTCTTTTGCAATTCAGCTGCTCTGGCCTCGGCATCTTTATATTTTTGTTGCATTTCTTGGAACTCACGACTAATCCGTACTTTATAATTTTCCATTTCGCGCATGCTGTGCTCAAATTGTTTGTTCAATTCGAGCATCTGTTGAGTATATCTTTCTTCTGTTGCTTTATATTGCAGTATTTTCTGACGAAGCTCTATGACCTCTTTGTTGTCTCCATGATACTCATTCTTCTTCTGCAATTCAGCTGCTCTAGCCTCGGCATCTTTATATTTTTGTTGCATTTCTTGTAATTCACGACTACTCCGTACTTTATAATTTTCATGTTCGAGCATGCTGTGCTCAAGTTGTCTGTTCAATTCAAGCATCTGTTGAGTATGTCTTTCTTCTGTTGCTTTATATTGCAGTACTTTCTGACGGAGCTCTATGATCTCTTTGTTGTCTCCATGATACTCATTCTTCTTCTGCAATTCAGCTGTTCTAGCCTCGGCATCTTTATATTTTTGTTGTATTTCTTGGAACTCATGACTAATCCGTACTTTATAATTTTCATGTTCGCGCATGCTGTGCTGAAGTTCTCTATTCAATTCAAGCATCTGTTGAGTATATCTTTCTTCTGTTGCTTTATATTGCAGTATTTTCTGACGGAGCTCTATGATCTCATTGTTGTCTCCATGATACTCTACCATCTCTTTTTCTAAATTCGTTCGGTCGGCTTTATTGAGATTCTCTCTAGCTTCGTTGAGACTCTTTTTAGTTTCTTCAAGACTTTTTCTAGCTTCATTAAGACTTTCCCTAGTTTCGTTGAGACTTTTTTTAGTTTCATTGAGGTAGATTTTGTGCGTTCTGTTTTGATTCTCCGCGCTGTTCCATTTGTCATTCAATTCCACACATCTTTCTTGCTGAACAGTCAGCTGGATTTCTAAATATTTAGAATAATTCTCTTGAGTTTGAAAAAAGTCCTTCAGCATGCCTTCAAGAGCACTAACACGATCTGTAAACATGCCAGAGTCTTTCGTATACCTAGTCAACTCCAACTGTTTCAGAATGTTAGCAGAGGCATCACTGAGGAATAATTTGGTTTTACTGGGATCAGTTACTTGCTCCACTATAATGTTAATGTCGGTCATTTCTATTTGGTTTTTCGAATACGAATTTAGTTAGAATGGAGGAAATTGGTTTACTTATACTGCGTACTGTAAGCGAGAGTATAATTCTTTATCAAATTTCCTAATCTAGTAGTACATGTTGTGCTTCCCTACAATGCACGATTCCAAGAATGAAATAGTTTACTTGCTAAAAAACATAGTGTCTTACCGTTACAGAAAAAATTCTCAATTTCAGACTAGTAGTGAATCACGATTGCCTTCCAATCCTAACAACTATTCGCGTACGCCTACGTTATTATTAACTACGAGCTTAAATACTTTCGGAAGAGTATTAAGTTAGTAATGAACGAAAATGTGAACGTACTTGCCATAAGGTTGTTGAAAACATCGACAAATTTATGCCATTTTCGAAACTGGGGGAAAAAAACTAGTTTACGGTGAGTAGCTCATGTATTACTGAACTAGAAAGACGTGGTTCGGCAAACTTTCTGGAAGGCTGCAACAACGCGATCGAATTATTCGAATTTCGTGTACTGCTATAAATCTACCTAAAATTATCGTTTGATAAGCATTATAGAAACGTCTTATATCATGAGTGGTTATAATCATTTACATTCCCCATAATCAACATTAATATCCAAGTTCGTTAAAAAGTTTCCAACTGGAACTCAGTCTTAGTTGGACTTTCGCTTTGTTGAAGATCTGCCTCTTCTTCTTCTTCTTATCCAAAATATTCACTCCGACCAGTGGGAACGAACATATCTCAACAACTTGCTTTTCATCATCTACGTCATCATCTTGAGCACATTCCATTGTAGCGGAATCGAACTTGTCTCCACTCTCGAAAAAGTGATACTCAACAACAGGGAATTGAGTCTGGAATCTAAAATAAAATATACGAACTATCTCAAGGATGACAGAAGGAGCCAATTCTTCGATATCTTTCTTCATCGATTCACCCTTAATCTGACGACATTTTTCGAGATCAATCAATACATGCTTGACTATGTTTACTAAAAATGGATGATTGGCGGACGCAAAACCACGATTACCAAGTACAGCATATATTTGTTGGCTTATCTTCACTCCCGTCATACGCGTCAATTCATCCTCTCCTTTGCGCTTCTCAGCAAACTCTTCCATATAACGCTTCAAACTGGATGTTGTATTCAAGATAAGTTCTTCCAAGAAATAGTTTAGATCAACCTTAGCGTACTGATTATCCTGAACGAAGAAATCAAGATCGTTTCTACTTTTCTTATTCAAATCTTCGATACATTTGCTGAAATATGAATGTGTATATTTCAATACTTTCTCAATAATATATCTTTGTAGTGCCCCGCTGACGATTAACTTCGTTGTAGGGTCTAGCCGACAGTCATATGTCTGCAATAGCCCAGCAATTCCTTGTTGATCGAGAACAATGTGACTACCTTTTAATTGAGTAAACTCTCTTAGAGTATTTCGCAATTTAATAATGTCATTTACTAGTTGGCCTGGATGATTCTCATCGTTATCGCCCCATCTGAAATTAATGGTATCGCCAAGAGCAGCTTTGATACTGGTAACTTCATTATTTAATAAGTTCTGCAATTCAGATGTTTTAGCCTCGGTATTTTTAAGACTTTGTTGCATACTTTGGAATTCATGTAGGAAAGACGTTTTCAGATTTTCCAATCGTGTTTCGGTTCTTACTTTTTTGCTTTCAGCAGTGTTTCGTGCTTCGCGTAGCTGTTTCTCTAACTCAGCATTCTGATCGCGCAAAGCTTTGTTTTCTATCTCGAATTCAGCCAATGGATCACAGCGACTAGGTCCGGCTGAGAGTTCTTTGGCTTCTTCATTCACGTTTCGAATGGACAAGTTAGTAGTATCGCCAAGAACTTTTCGATAACTGGTAACTTCCTCCTTTAATAGATTATTCTTCTTCTGCAATTCAGACGCTCTAGCCTCGGCATCTTTATATCTTTGTTTCATTTGTTGAAATTCAGGGTTATAAACGTCACTACTATTACGTGCTTCGCGAAGCTGTTTCTCTAATGTTTGCTTCTGCTGGCGTAACGACATGATTTCACTATCGGATTCAACTCCGTAATCATATTTACATCTATAATGATCGATAAGTTGTTGGTTCTTTTCGTTAAGTTGTAACTGCCGAGCAAATCTTTCGTCGAACGCTTTGATTTCACGCTGATAGAACAGTACATTACGCTCAAGCTCTGCAATGATCTCTTTGCTGTCCCCACGATAGTCTCTCATGTCTCTGTTTGAACGTGTTTGACTGACTTCATAGAGGCCTTCTTTAGCTGATTTGAGTTGAATTTCTAGATCTCTGCATTGATTTTCCGCTTTGTACCATTTCTCATTCAACTCCACACATCTTTCTTGCTGACCATTGAGCGCAGCTTCTAAATATCTAGTATATTCTTCTTGGGCTTTAAACATGCTTTTTTGCACGTCTTCAAGAACGTTAACATGATCTGCCAGGTCAGGTCCATTTTTTGCATACCTGGTCAACTCTAACTGTTTCCCGATTTTTGCGGATAATTCACTGAGTATTTGTCTGTTTGTACGGTGATTACTGGGTCCTGGATTTGATGCTGATTTTTGTTGCGAAACCTCTGTATGACCTTTATCTTCATCAAAATAATAAGTCCTAACGGGAAATGTGTCAGAATCATTCATAGAGACTGACTTCTCGGCCGGATACTCGTCTAGATTTAAAGGACTATCTTCGTTACCTTCACCGTTCTGTTTCCCAAATATTGCAGATAACTCACTGAGCAATAATTTGTTTCTACGGGCACCAGTTACTTGATCCGTTATTCTGTTGGTACGATTTTTAGGAGTTTGCCAATCTGTTACTCAATCCAATGAATTGTTGTTATCATTTATTGAGCAGTCTATGGTTAATTGAGTAAGGGAATGGTTTACCGATGAAATAATAATTTGGTTTGCAAGAATGTATTAGGTATTAAATGTGTCTATTCTTTGTCTACTTGCCTTATTTACTAAGGCAACATCTGTTGTGCTTCCCAACCTATATTTAGCTTGGATCATGGATGCAATTATGTGCGGTGCGAACAATTAATTATATAGAACTTTCGTTCGCTTAGATTATACCAATGTAAGCGCTCCAAAAGAAATATCTTTGTATTTCAAATACAGTAAAAAGCACCAAATATATGTAGGTTAGCGTAACATCATGATCAACATCATCGTCGTAATTGCTAGGTCACCAACTACCTCACAAGTAACGTTCGCTTCATGAATAAGTCCTGGATCTACTATAACGTGACGTACTTGCAATTAACGTTCGGAATCGGATACTATCAAAAAAAAATCATTCACAGTCGAATGGCTATCTTGGCTATCAAACAATAGAACATTACTAATTATTAATATTGTGCCATCAATTACTTTTTCTTAAAACGGAATATAGCTGTTGTAGAACGCGTTCACTAGGCTAGCAATGAATAAGGTCTATATTCGTGTAAAGCACCAATTATAATTCTCTTTGCTTTTACTCCTTACTCTATTCTGTGTTCGACATGTAAGTTTGTCAAAATATATACAGTAACGTGCAAAAGTATCCTACCGGTTGTATCATCTAAACGTACATAATAATAACTCCTTAAATTTTCC